ATTGGCCATTTCTTATTTGTTGTTTAGTTTTAATGAGAGTCCTACTTTAACTATATTTGATATTAATCGATATACCTTTCTAACAACTGGATAAGTCATAGGTTTATCGTGCGAACGACCTCCCATAATGATACTAAAACGAATAGAAAGATTTGAGTTGAACAACTGTCTACAAACAAACAATATAACCAGTACCGGCGTTAGGGTGGGGCGCGGTCGGGAGATCGCCCAGGGCGTCAAGTCTGTAGGGGCGCCGTTGCCTGACTTCACCTAGTTTGACAGCGAGAGAGATTCCCTAAAATATAAAAACAAAATGGGGTTCGTCGTTCGATGTCATCGCCTTGTCTTTTCCCCCTCAAGAATTTTGAGCCCTTGAATTCGAATGGGCGCCACGATAATCTCGCTCAGGGCGCCAATGTCGCTAAAAACCGACGCTGAATATAACATACCATTCAATTTGAACTAAATATGACGCGCGTATCTTAACGCATTAAAATTAAAATATGTCTTCCAAATTATTGCTCCCATATCTCCCGTAGAATAGGGAATCGCTCGAACCGGAGCAAGGAATTTTACAATCGGGAGAAATGTCCTCTTCCTCCGCGCGGAGGAGGGGGGGGGGAACCACCACGCGGCGACACACATAGTACGACCAATTCAAACGGTGACGTAAGCTCGTTCCGCCTTCCTCTTTTCCTCCACGTCGCTTCCGTCGCTAACCTCCCCGCCCCTCGAGCTCGCAGCATCTTTTCGCACGGCGTACTTAATGTGCGACGCTAATCGAACGAGAAACAGAGAAAGCCGATCTTTCCTCTCTCTCTTTCTCTCTCTCATCTCTCACTCGCTCGCCCTCTCTTCTTCTTTCTCTCTTAACATTTATATCGTGCTCCGTCTCTGTCCTATCAGCGGTCATCTATCTCAGTCGTTTACCAGCACCGGTCGCGCTGCAGTTGTCTCTCTATCTCTCTCTCGCCCGTTCTTACCCGCTCCCGCATCCTCCACCTCTTTCTATTCCATAAACGTACTCTACGTGACATACAATCCTCCCTCTCTCTCTCTCCCCCCTTATCCCTCTCGTTTCCTTTCTTTGAAAAGCGGCTCTCATGCAGAACTCTCTTGTTCCTCCGCCTATCACTCCCACCAGTTCTCGATCGCCCTGTCGCCATCTCTCTTCTCCGAGAGGCTCAAAATTGCATCTCTTTCGCGCGATCGAACAGTTTATCTCCGTTCAATGCGACTATTCTCCCCCCCCCCTCTCTCTCTCACTCTCGTGTACAGTTCGATCGGTTGTTTTCGTCCGACTCGGCCGTTCGTTCGTTCCTCTCGCCCCACTCTCGCTCGCTCGCGCGCGCGGCCCACGGGGAAGCACGAAGCGCCGCGGCGCGAGCCGAGCTCTGCCGAACGGCCGTTCGACACTTCGGGCCGCCGAGCCGAGGTCTGTTCCGTTCACGTTTTCAGTCTCGAGTCTCGCGTCGGTCGCCACGGGCTTGTCTACCGCGGCGCGCTCCTTCGCCGCGTTCTCCGTCCGGCCGGGACCCATGGAGAACCGTGAGCCTGACAGGTGTGTAGTGCGGTGAGACAAACGCGAGAGGACAGAGCGTGGAACAGTGCGGAGGGACACGGCTGCGGCGAGCGCGGGGGATGAAGGATGGACGAGAGACACGCGCTCGCGACGCGGACGGCGACGACTCGCTCGCGGTAAATCGGCTCGCCGATACGCGCCCGACGTATTTATTTATTATCGAATAGCCGCTCTCCTCCAAGTGAGAGGGAAAGGGAAGCGTCGACGATCACTCCCGCACGCTCGAGACGAAATTCGAACGACTCGGGGGACGCCTATCCGCGCGCGCGAGGTGGGTGTCGGTTGGAAAAAAGTTAAGCTGCGCGCGCGCGCGCGATTCAGCTGATCGCGAGGAGCCGCGTCTCGATAATCGGCTCTGCCACCGGTACTTTCCGAACGCCCGGGTGTCGCTCGCGTCAAACCCTCGCGGAAGATTGTCGTCACGTCGAGAGAAGAGGCGGATCTTGGTCGAGTTGGTCTCGAAGGCCGGGAGCCATCGATATCGGTATGGAGGACTAGTTTGGCGAAGAAGGATCAAGGTCGCGTCCTAAAGTGTATGCTCTTTTTAGAGGAACGCCCGAGGTGACGGAGAAGCCCCCGGCCGAGCCTACGGGAGGAGCGGGCGTCGTGAAATTCCCAAGAGTGCGCGATAACGAAAGCGGAAGCAGCCGTGGGTTAGCAAACCTTCTGGGATGTCGACGTACGGAGGGTGGAGCCTGCGGCCGGCGAGGACGCGTTTTCGACACTCGACAGAATCGCCGACGACCCGTCGCAGCTGAGAACGACCGGGTCGCCGACTGACAGAGGGTTACTCTCGCGGAGCTTCCTTTCGGCGATTCGACGCTTCCTCGACACGTCTTGTCCGACGAGGGCGCGACGGTGGGATCTCGTTTGGATTGGACGTCGCGTCGAGCGGCTGCGAGCAGTCCGGAATTATTCTCGGGAGATTCGGGAAAAGGTGCAGCAGGTAAGAGTCGTGTATCGCCAGCCGCTATTGTCGGCAAAAATTTCGGAATCTGGCAGTCTGGTGGAACGACTCGAGTCGAGATTTAACTTGTTTTTGTTTTTCGTATACTGCAAAAGTTAAGCTGAAGGCCTCATAGTCGTATTTTACAGATCAATATCTATAAAATGTGCACTTGGAATCTTGCGGTTAATAAATCGAGGAAATCCCCTATTATGAGATGGCGCGGTTAAATTAATAGGCATCGTCTGTTGATTGCGCTATGAATTTGTTGCCCTTTGAGCGAAATCCGTTTGCTGGAAAATTGTTAGATCGTGTAATCGTTGCGAAAAAGGATTGTCGTTGAATTTGGGCGTTGAAAACCTACTATCTCATATTAGAGACCTATCTCATAATAGAGGACTTTCCCTCTACGAATTTGCAATTTTAAAACTTTGAATGAATAGAATTTCTACGAAAGTTTAAATCGACTCGAGTCGTTCTTTCACTAAACTCTTAAATTGCTACTTTCGAGATCGTTAGATGTGCTTTCGAGCTGTGAAATTTCCTTTCAATTATGACATTTTCTGAAAATTACGAAAGTGTATATTAATTTTTACTAATAACGTTACATTAATTCGAACTACGGTTTGCACTTTGGCATGCAGATATTTGTCAGTGCGATTAACTTGCATGCTCGCTCGATTCGCAGCCACGTGATGAGTATTTTAAAATGAAAAATGAATATATAACGAAAACAATGAAAGAACAAAGCCGTTGAAATATTAACTCGTCGCAGTGTTCTGATTCGTTTGCAGAGCATTTTTGCAAATTGCTGTTGCTTCGTTGCATCGAGAAAGTATTTTGGTCATTTAATTGCATTAGAATTGCTTAAATGTCTAAATTACGTTAATCAGAAAAAAGCGGTGGCGGTATTTTAAAGAAATCCCACGACGATCACGTCGGCGGATGTTCAAGGGCGATGCTTGTAATGGGTACCTCGATTAAGGCGATTAAAACGCAGAGTAAGAAACAATGTACCCCCCCTATTAAATAAAGTTCAGAAATAATGGGGATTATTTTATTTAATGAAGATTAGTTTATATCGATTTAACGTCAAATCTGCACACTGCAGCACATTCTTTCAGAAGTTCGATTTAATGGGGTTGTGAGGGAAATAAAGAATGTCAAGAGTTGTATAAAATGTAAAACGTAAGCTTTTTTAAAAAACAATATCAGCGTGCAAGCTTTTTAGATTCTTTCACCGGTTAGTTTTCAAGAATGTTTACAACCAAGTTGAAGATTTCATACATTTTCCAACGTGATAAAACTAATTTTGCGAAGTCATTGCTAGCATCTCCAGATAAACGAATATCCGAGAGACGTGCGCGACAATTGATCAATTGCCGGATGGATAATGTCGATTTAACGACCATTTTAATACGTAAAATCTTATGCAACGAAAAGGAGTCCAAGGCCTCGCCTATCCGCCGAGCTCGTCGCGTTGTGGGCGAGCCTTAACCAAATATGCAAATATCAAGGCTCAGATTCTCCGAGGCTGCGTTGGATGAGCATTACAAAGTTGTTATGAATATGGAAAGCCATCCCGGAGTGGGCTTATGACGCGCAGCGAAGTGGTTGCGAACGCTCGATTTATTTTCCAAATGAACACGATTTGCGGTGCCGTCTTGTAAAATGCGATGATAATTTTCCCGCCGCTGTGCGATTGGAATGAGACGGAGGAGGAAACCCCGCGAGACTGCCGTCGCAGAAACCGCGGCGTTCAAGTCACCGGAAATTTCTTCGCTTTGCGCGCTTTGGCGTGCGGGCATCGAAGTCGCCGGCGATTTTAACACTCGGCGCTGCGTTTCAGCACAGAGTCGCCTTCCGAACTTGTTCTTATACTTGTCAGTCGTTTTGCTTCTACCAAGTTTTCATCGTACGCTTTCTAAATTATTAATACGATTGTTTATGTCGTGATTATTTTGCCTAGGTAATAGAGGAAAGTTCCCTATTATGAGATAGGCCTCATCTGTTGATTCCACCATAAATTTGTTGCCCTTGGAGCGAAATCCGTTTGGTAGAAAATTTATAGTTGGATTGTGTAATCGTCGCGAAAAAGGATTTGCGATTGAATTTGGGTGTTAAACACCTGCTATCTCATATCAGAGGCCTATCTCATAATAGAGAACATTCCTGTATTTATTAATATGCTTGTTTATGCCATGATCGTTCTGCCTAGGTAATATTTATTATGCTGAATTACGACACACTTACGAGTGCGAACGTTAGATAAGCACGTGGACGTATAAATGCTAGATTCATCTTTAGAGACGACTCAATTCTCCCGTACGCAAACCGACAACCTTAAATCACCTGCGCGACAGCTGTTTCCGCTTTCAAAATACCTGTTCGCGTTCGTTGCTCAAATCATTCGATCTTGTTGGTATACGGGCGTATCCGAGATGCTTTCAAAAAAATCTAAACTGCGCCGCAGCGTAAGATGCAAATCATTTGATTTTCTTATTTTTACATAATAATAATCTTTCTCTCGGTAATAATAATTGGCCGTCACATATCGTTACTTCTCTTATTCCGCTCGAGAGGTAACACGCGCCGCGCTTTCTAAGCGAGAACGATTTTCCTCGCACCCCGCGCGAGGAATCGCGCGAGACACGTCCCTGGCCGCGCGATCGCCGATCTGACCGGTGTTGTGCCCCTCCTCCCCGTGCCGTAAGAACGGTGGAAGCTGCCGGGACCGCGGCGCATCCGCGGCGAGAGAAGTCGATCTGCGGCGGTCTCGTAAATCACGCCACGATACACATCCGGCGCCAGAGCCATCGAAAAGGGCTTGGCGCGCGAAAATGGCGGCCGGCGCGGCGCGGCCGCCCATAGCCGACCATGGTGGTCCGGTGGTGGTCGAGGTCGGCCGTGCTCCACCGCCGTCGCCGCTGCCTGTCGTGGTGTACTAAAAAGTGAACGTTGCATCGTGCATCGCCGCCGCCGCCGCCGCCGCCTTCGCGAACAAGCGTGTCGCTTTCTCGACGGGCTGCGAGTGCCTGCACCCGGACGGGGCCCCGCGATACTAACCCGCCTGAAAACGTTCACCGGCTGCCTCGACGCCGAGATTGGCCTTAACCCTCGCTAGCGGTGACGTCACGACGCGGGGAAGCGCCGCGATTATTTTTCTTTTTTTTCCCCCCGCCCTTTTTTTGCCCGGCCGCAGACCGCTTCGGACTACGATTCGTGGAATGGGGCGAGGGAGGAATGCGAGGCTCGTCGCGCACTGAATTATAGAATAAAGCGGAGGAATGCTAGATGTTTTGCACGGGCCCCCTTCTGTAGATTAGATAGAACTGGTATGAGGATGGAGGATATGGGGGTACAATTGAAAACGAGCTCAAGGTCGACAGAGAGAGCGACGTGGTAACAAAGAAAGAAATATCCGGTTTACGGAACGAAACTGTTTCGGTCTTTATGCCTTTTAAATAAACAAAATACTCGAAGCACCTATTCCCTGACAATGTAACATAATGTAACAAGGAGTTTCTCGCTCGAAAAACGGAACTCCATGGAAATTCCGTCATTCAGGCTTTATAACTATATACATGTAATAAAATAAGTCAACGGTACACGATAATGTCTTTCCGAAACTTGATTGATTACAAGAGCTACCCAGGATTTAACTTTAAAGCCAACGGCACGCGATACTATTTTTCCTACTGGATTGCTTACGAGAACCAATCAGGATTTAGCCTTAAGTTGCCCGATCGAAAACTCTGTCTGCTTCCTGATTGGCTCTCGCAAGCAATCTAGTGGGAAAAATAGTATCGTGTGCCGTTGGCTTAAGTCACCTGATCGAAAACTCTGCGTCCTGATTGGCTCTCGCAAGCAATACAGTAGAAAAAATAATTTTCTTATGCCATTGACTTTAAACTCTGCATCCTTATTGGTTCTTGTAAGCAACTCAGTAGGAAAAATAGTATCCTATGCCGCTGGCTATAGTCATCTTGCATTGTCATGTATAGAGATTTTTATATTGAATATTTCTTAACGTTTTCACACATTGTTAACAATTTTTTAAGATATTTTATAAGAAAACTCTAAATTATCTTAACGAATTTTCCGACTAATTACGTGGACAAAACCGATAAGGAATGTTCTTCGAACGAGCGCGCAAGCGCGATAAGAGAGGCTGCGGATCTTCGAATCTGCCGCCTCTCGCACGACGGAGACGATGTTTGCGCGATCGATCGTATACTTTGCGCGAGTTCGACCCAGTTATTAATAAGACTTTCTCTTTTATTTTAGCCATGGACTGGAGGGGGTTCGCGCTGGCATTTCTGGTGGTAAGTAAATACAAAAAGATCACTTTTTTTTCTTTGCGCGCAAGAAAGCTCACCTTGAACGGACGAGGTATCTTACTTATCCGGGCGTCTTTTGAGTCTTTTGCTCGCTTCGCGTTTTCTTTACTTTTTTTTGCGGAATACAAATTAAATCTGTTATAAAATTATCATTTTAATGTAGAATTATTATTGCCAAAAATTGCCGCAGTTTATTTTATTTCACGTTTAATCTGAAAGTATCATCGAACTTCCGTTTTTTTTTCTCTCTCGCATAAAATAAGTCTACGTAACAACTGTGCGATACTTATCTTAATTGCAGCCGCTTAAGCTAGACTTAAACGCAATTGTTCTAAATACATTTGCGTTATGCAATTCGCGAGATGAAGTCGAAACAACGCTTAATAACCGCGTGGCGTGTAAGAAACGCTCGCTGAAAACGGTAACGCTCGTCGCGCGATTCCGTCATTGACAGTTTTATCTATTTGAAAATAAGTACCGATTGATGGATTATCCCATCGCTTGACTCGACGTCCCGAGGTCGGAGGGCGAGGGGATAACGTTTAATCGAGAATACGCTCTCTTTCTCTCTCTCTCTCGCGTTCGCCGCCGTTTCGGCGCGGACTAATGGCGTCCGTAATATGTACACACACTTTCTCCCGTGCGTGCCGCCTCGTATACGCGCGTGTGGTTTACAAAGATATGCGGCGCATTATGTAATCCTTTGTTGGCGCACGACACATCCGAGAAAGGTGTCCGTATGCGACTGCTGGAGCCGGCGTCGGCGCGAATCGAACGACGGATTCTGGCTGCGGGTTCTCGACGCTCAAGCCCACAGGCTTCTGTACACTACTAGACTTGCTACCTTCGAGCTGAAAAGCGAGGCAAGAATTCCGCCAAGTCTCGTTAGGTAAATAAAGTAGCATGTGTCGGTGACACACCGATGCACACATCCTCTCGCGGACGAGTCCGCCACACAGACTTCTACATAGAAGAAAGTCCTCTATTACGAGATAGGATTCTAATATGAGATAGTAGGCTTTAAACGTCCAAATTCAATCACTAATCTTTTTCGCAACGATTACATGATCTAGCAATCAGTTCTCCACTAAACAGATTTCGCTCCAAGGGTAATAAATTCATGGTGGAACCAACGGACGATGCCTATTAATTTAGCAGAAACTCCGCTAACTCATATTAGGAGCCTATCTCACAATAGGGGACTTACCTCTACAACCAGACTGCTACCTTCGAGTAGGATGTGTGTACCGGTGTGTCACTTACAAACTACTTTATTTACCCAACGAGACATGGCGGAACTCTTGCCTCACTTCTCAGCTCGAAGGTAGCAGTCTAGACCCCTGTAAAGTTAGCCCCCCCCATTATTTAAAATTTTAACTTTTTTTACGAGTTCCCTATAGATTTACAATAGTTCCAAAGTTCTTGATGGGTTTAAGAAATAGTTAAAATGAATTTTTGAAAATGGGGGAGCTAACTTCACAGGGTGCAGTCTAGTAGTACATAGAAGTCTGTGCTCAGACCGGCGCGGTTCGCCTGTGTAAATTTGACAAACGACCCTCTCTCGAGAAAGCAGCTGGACGGCTTTCGAGCGAATTTCATGCACGCGGCGACGGAATATGCGCGCGAGATTTTCTCTCTAATCGCGCGTCGCTACTTAGTTTTTCGAACTGTCAACGGAGAAGTATGCTCGCGGCTGATATTTGAGTCTCTCGCCTCTCCTACGGATAACGAACTCGCTCTCGAAAGTTCTTTAATTACAGTGTTAAGCATGAAAGTGTTTAGAAAACTGAAATGGAAAAGAAAAATAAATTGCAAATGTTTCCTGGCTAATGAGCATCTCGTTCATCGAGTGAATAATCTCATTTCGTAAATGCGAAAGAGAGAAACGTCAGGGGAGACTTTTTCACCTACGATAGGAGCTGCGTAAAATTAACAACGCGAGAGACTGCGTATTTTTGAAGCAAAGGGTATTTATTTATCCTTCGAGGTACAAACGAAGTACAAGCGAAATTTGTTGTTAGTTTTTAATTTTTATCAAGTCGGGCTCCAGGTTTACACTGCAATGGTTATCAACTGCCAGGGTTGGCTGGAAAATCTAGGAGGTGGAAAAACCATGGTAAATTTCAGTGGAATAAATTGGCAAAAATGATAAAAATAACTAATACTTAATTAAAACATATTTATATAAATATCTTTTTTATAGTCTTTATGAAAAAAGATGTTTGTTTTAAATACTAAATCATATTAATCACTATTTTAAAAAGAAACCAATATAATAAGTTTTTAATTAAAAAAATTGTTTTATTGAAATTAATACATATTTTTGGAATTTCGGAACTTCGGAGATACTAAATCGTATATTAATTTTTAGTTTATGCGGGAAACAATACTTTTCTGCAGTGCTTTCTAAAAGTTTTCTACTTATCTTATCGTTTTTAATAGGAAAGACCAGTTTTTGCTGGCTGTTCCCGGAAAATACCGGTTTTTCCCACTGGCATGGACTTTATCCAAAAATTGTGGAATTTTGCCAACCCTGTCAAATGTTTTGCGGTGGCATTGAAAGGCGACGTGGATAAACAAAAAGTGCGGTAATGCAGTTATTTAAGTATGACGTTGCTTTTCACGGCGGTTTCGGGGAACGTTATGTCACTATACCGACAATAGTCGTGGGATCGCTCTCGGGACGAGAGGCTGACGGATCGTAATGTCGTTAACCCATTGAAGAGGCGGCAATCCCGGCGTTACGTAACATATAATAATTGACAATTACGCTAAACTTGGCGTTTACGTGCGGCTCGTAGTCTCCGCGACAGGATCCTCGAAAACGCGCGTCGCTGATACGCGCCGCAGAAAGACAGCCGACCGTTTGTCATCGAAACTTTCCATTGTTAGCACGCGTTACTTTGCGCACGACACGAAATGAAATCCCAAAATGCAAGCCGTCATAGTTAATTTATCTCCAACCCGATCGGCCGGCAGTTACGCACTTTTTCTTTATTATCCGTGTCCCAGTTGGCGGCTACTATGGAAACATATGTGTATTCAAATACAGTTTTAATGACTGCAGGTATTCCTCTGTGAGAAAGCGTTTCCTTAAATTGTATACAGATTTCTTTTATTTTTTTCTTTCGACAACGTAGGATGACGCGGCGGATCCGCGTGTGTCGGAGCTTTGTCGGAACACGCCGTTGCACGTAAGAAGAAAAGACAATTCCGTTCAGAACCGCCACGCCCACTTTTACCTCGTGTTCCTTTAAATATCGACGGCGAGATCTTGGCGGGCCCGGCGCTCGCTGGCGCGTTTCCATAAACGTTTCACCCCGTGGTCGATGGAAGACCGCCGATAACCGGAAACGTGGCGCCGAATGTGCACTTCGTAATGCTACGTTTTTCTCGCCCGTACCTTTATTACAGCGGAACGCGAACCCGCCGGTTACATTTCGCAAACAACGTGACAACCTCAACGTATATTGCGTCATAATTTCGAACAGGTTCTCTTGAAAGAAAGAAAGACGGAGAGAGAGAGGGAGAGAGCGGAAGGTTCCGAATACATTTTTAAATATTTTCTCTCGAGGAGAAGAAAGATCAGGGAATATTCTACGTTTGCTTGGCAACAGGTTCTTGTCGAAAGGCTTCTCCAAACATTTCGCGGGCTGCACTCTCGCTTAGGAATACCAGGAACGCAAATAAGATAACGCAAACATCCGATGTAACGGGCCGGTTGGAGAAACCAATAGAAACGTATACTACCGCTCACATTTATTCGAACGACCTGAGGAATTGAAAAAATAGAGGGTTACGTCCAGGAAAAGTAGTATATATCGATGAAAACGATTTTACATGGCATTTTATACAAGCTTACACACTAGGCTATTATATCTAATTAAAAGATTATTAATTCTTAATTAAATAATATTCAATTCTTTGCTTCGATTACTGCTCTACGAGCTTTTTGTATTTGTTGAGCTAATTTCATCTCTCTCTTACTCTCTTTGTAGGGAACATAATTCAAATAAATCAAATAATATAATATCGACTTATAATTGGACATAATTCGACGAATGGTTTCAGTAATTAAAATTTTAGTCGACATTAACCGGCCAGTGTTTTAATACAGCAAATTTATTGTGAAAAATATTACCTCCGCCGGGGGTTGAACCTGGACTTCCCTACACCCAAAAAAAAGTATTCTATTTTTGAGTGGTTTCCTCTTGATTTTAGAGGCTTTCTTTATTTTCATAAGGAAATCCTCTAAAATCAAGAGGGAACCACTCAAAAATATAATACTTTTCTTGGACCTTTTTTTCAGTGTACTCTCCAGGCGAGCGTCTCACCAATTCGACCACCGAGGCATGTTATCTATAATATTACCGGCAACTTAAAGAGATTTCCATGTTTGAATTAAAATTTAATACTGTCACGCCACCAATGTAGTGCAAAAACAGTTAATTGTTCTTCCAAAGTATAAAATATTTAAGAATTGTAATAAGTATGGGAACGACCGTACTGACAATTCTTTATTAAAATGAAACACAACGTTTTTCGGCCAGTAATACTGGTCCTCTTCAGGTAACAAACTTGCAAGAGTGCCTAGAAATGTCTGAAGAACAGATAAACAAAATATAGAATGAATTAGTACGAGTTCTTACATATCAGAAAAGAAAATGAAGGTGTTTTTTTTTAAATAAAACTTACCAGATTCGTCAGATTAGAGATGTGAAAATTAATATGAAATATTTGTCGTTGAAATAATCGTGAGCGGTACACGCCGACGAAGAGTGGAGAAAGTGCAAAACTCCCGTCTGACAAATTCTAGTTCTCACCGCGAAATATGCTGCGTAAACGTCATCCGACAATTTAACGCGTCGAGCTTGCTCGTCCGCCCAAATTAGGACTCGCCGACGGAGCCCGTCATCCGATTAGAGATCGGTGAAATCGCGTGGCGTATCCGATCGATATACGGCCGATACGATCGTATTCGGAGGACTCGCGTGGGCGCGCGCGTTTAAAGTTCGGAAGTCATATTGCGATTAAGCCGAGTGCAATCTCTTCGCCCACGCGCCTCGGCGACCAGTCCTCCCCTGGAAGTCCTTCTACAGCTCCGCGTCTACATTAAATATTTAAATGCCCCGTCGTGACATAATCGCGGCTCCGCTCGCCGCGTTGAATCGCGACGTCACGGGAGCACGCGACGGGGATTGCGTATACGAAAGGTGACTAACTGGCGGGAGTCCGCGGACCGTGTGTCTGCAATAGCGAGCGTAATGGGCGTCGATCTCAAGGAGATCCCGGCCCACGTTAGGTCCGTGTTGGATCGCGGCTGTTTATCATAGTCCGTCGCTCCAATTACCTATTGAACTACTTGACGTCCAAGGATCGCGCTCTGTCGTACGGCGCGACGTCGGTACCGATCTTATCTTAACGTATGCCGCGTTATTATTAAGTTCGTATGCTAATGAGGCGCGTGATAACCGGGAGATACGCCCGAGGGACGACGTCGGAGCTAATTTTAACCATTCGCGTCGTACCCTTAATGAAAATTCTTTGTACGTCGATCAAATGGTATCCAAGGATTATCTCGGATGACGTCAGCGCTAATTTTAGCTGGTCGTACGATCGGCGAAAATTCTCACTGCAGTTGGACGATCGGCGTTCGCAGGCAGCAAAAAAAATGAATCGGCGATTAACCGGCGCGTTATTTAACGTCGCGGATTCCTTCGAGCGATCTCTACGGTTTCCCTCCGCGGTTTATTGTTAGCGAAGACGCGCGCTCCGCGAGAAGAGCGAAGGGATGTAGGAAGGCCAGTCCTCGATGGATTCCATCGGACGCGGAACGTCGCGAACCTTATATGGTCCGGTCTTGCTGCCGGCGGACTAACTCCGCGGCATCGCTGCGCTTTATCGAGGTATCTCCGGTACGCTGCGTTTTGCGTTTCGATCACGTCCACGTCGCTCCGCGTTTCGATCCAATTGTGTATCGGGCAACCACCACTGATCTCACCGATAATCTACCTCGCCACGGGCGCTCGTCAAATTATGGGACACAGTACTCCGCGATTAAAGTCTGCCAGCGGTCCGCCAAGCCATAGTTCTCTCGCTATCGCCTTCACTTTGGCGCTTTAGTATACATAGTTGCAAATACAGTCCGCGAGAGAGCGAGAGCGAGAGAAAGAGAGAGAGAGAAGTGCAGGGGCCACGTCGTTCCGAGTGTGTACACACTTGAATGGCCAGTGACTCGTTAGACCACTTTCATTGCACGGGCGAACAAGCGCCGGCCATGCTGACGTCAGCGTTCGCCATGGAGACTCCTGTCGTGAAACTTTCCGTGTAGCGTTAGGCGAGCGCGCGCCGCTAAGGCGATTGTTTAGCGCCACTGCGCACGCAGGAGAGATAACTTTTATCCCGGTTACGCGCGAGATCTTATTTTTTCTCGCCGCGTGGGAAAAAGAAAGGCGAGAGGCTTCGCGGCGGCGGCGGCTTCTGCAATTGCGCTCCCCGTAGGTCAACTATCGCTTTCGGCCGGGTGCATCCCCGACACCGCTCGTTCGCCGATACCTAAATTGGTGTAGCGACGGAAAGACAAAAGTGTGTCGAGGGGAAATTACACGGCGCGGCGCGATCGTCCTTGTGTTATTTACGCTCGCGTTCGCCATCGCTGCGCTTACCGATGTTTCCACGGGCTCTGATAGATCGTGGGATCTGCGGGAGAGACGCGCGCGATCTCTCTCCGTCCGGCCGTCGTCGATGAGGACGGTTTATCGCGAGGGCGCGTAACCGGCGATTCGCGTAGCCTACCCGATTAAATCGTATCCTCGAATCCCGCGCGTCTTCCGCGTTGAAGTTGCACCGCGAGCATTGCGCATTACGCGAAATTACCTGCGAATCACGCACCGCGGGAATGAGCCTCGAATCAGATTGATGGAAGGCAATTACAGTACCCGTGTATCTCTCGCTGTTAATCTAAAAAGAAATTATCGTGACATTATGCGTTTCGCCAAGCTGGCATGATCACGGGCGATTCTAGTCGCGGAGATACACGTTAATGACGTTAATGCGTTGCACGTCCTTTCCATTATCGGACCCCACAATGACCACGCTCGTCTCATTTACAAGCTCGCGATGCGAGAAAAGGGGGGGGGGGGAGAACTTCCATGTTTTACTCGAGAAATCAATCATCGCTTTATTACCTCATTTTCTCTCTTCATTAGAATGACGCCATCCGTTTATGTGATTTTATTAAAAGCGACACGCGACCTTGTGCGCGCGCGCGCGCGCGGAACGATCTTTTCCTTCTGCCACGGACGTCGCGAGCTGTTACAAATAACGCTTTCGTGCAGCCAAAGGTCCATTAATTACAATGTTCCACGACTATAATGTTCTTCCAATTGCAGATTGACTTCAGTCTCGGCTTAACTTTTTATCTTTCTCTCATTCTTAAAACGAGAAAGCGCTAAAAAGTGAGTTAAACCGAGATTGAAGTTAATCCGCGTCGACGGAAATGGACATGGAGAAAGATGAGTTTCCTCTGTTACGCAAATTTGTATAAGCGACAGTCATTCGGGGCGACTTAACAATTTGCGAATTGCAGATTGACTTTAATCTCGGTTTAACTTTTTAGCTTTCTCATTCTTAAAACGAGAAAGGGATGAGAAATGAGTTGAATCGAGATTGAAGTTAATTCTGCATAGATAAAAGTGGGTACAAATAAAGATAAGTTTCTTCTGTTACGCAAATTTGTATAAGCGACAGTCATTCGGGGCGACTTAACACTTTGCGAATTGCAGATTGTCTTTAATCTTGGTTTAACTTTTTAGCTTTCTCTCATTCTTAAAACGAGAAAGGGATGAGAAATGAGTTGAATCGAGATTGAAGTTAATTCTGCATAGATAAAAGTGGGTACAAATAAAGATAAGTTTCTTCTGTTACGCAAATTTTTATAAGCGACAGTCATTCGGGGCGATTTGACACTTTGCGAAAAGCAAGGACAGTACAGTCCATACGTTCTGAAAAGTAAGAACAGCGCGAGAGGCACGGATCAACTCGGGCATGACATTTTCGCGAGACTTTCATATCGCGCACTTTAATCGGACGGCGATCGATCATCGATCCGACGTCGATTAAATTAACGCTCGGACGGGGAATATCACGTACATAACGCGCTGCAGAACTGTTCGAAACGCGTTTGAAATTGCGCTGGCAGTCCTATAAATTACAGGGGATCCCGTAATCAATTTGTTTGACGCGCTAAACCAGGGGAAAATAATCGGTGCAGCGCGATAAATTCTTGCGTTTGCGGTTCACGGAATCTCATTTCTTCTCTAATCGTCGCCGTTAACGAACACAGCGCTCCCATCATTTCGCAACGGCGCGACAGTTAACGGCAAATGGATAATAATAATACCGCGAATTCGCTCAGAAAGTTTACGGATGGGAGCTAAATTAAATTCGAACCGTCGCCGCGGCTCCGTACTGTGTAATTACGTGCATTACTTTAATGAAAGGCCCCCGCGCACACTCATCTCAAAAGCGTCTCATAGACTCGCTCTCGAGAATCGGACACCTTTTTTTCCCCCTCTCGCTTGTTTCGTCATTGACTTCACCGCAAACGCCGATGATATCACACTGCCAATTGTGGCAACTTGCTCCGTCACCGGGAATAACTTGATCCTAATAAATACGAGCCATCTAACTGGTAAAAGTGACGGCGACACCGCTCTCTTTTTCCACGCCTCTCCCGGTGTTTACCTAACGCCGCGGTTATCTAAAATTTTATGTAACTTTTTCCGCGATTCCTCTCGCGTTTTTAAATTCTCTTTCCGCGTCTCACCCATTGTGGACCGAACGCGTCGCTCGTGTCGCGAGCCTCGCCGACCGGACCTCGAGCGAGCGGCCTTGGCGGGACTTTTCCAAAGCTTGTAAAGCGCGAGAATTCTTGCTTAAGATATTTTAAGCGCTTGCGCCACGCCTGTTACAGTTGCATTACAATATCGCGCGCGTTGCGCTATTCTAATTGCGTGCGATACGCTCACTACGAACCGCGCGAGGCCGACACGAGGCAATAGAGTGAGTGGCTAAGTCAGCGCTAACAATCCTATCTTATTAAGCGAGAAGATCTAAAACATCGCCTTTCCCCTATTTTCAGATCACAATAACGAGGCACAGCGGCACGCACGCAGCCCAGATACCTCAGCAGCCGTCGACGTGTGAGTATACACATTCAGACTTACGCGAGACTTCGCTTTCTAATTGTCCCGGCGACAGCGACAACTAATTGGGGCGAATCAGCGGGATGTTGATCTCGCGCACGCGGAATCGGAAGGAATTTCGCGATACACCTGTTCCAACTGCTCTTTTCTGTTTCCCGCTCGAGGGTTCCGAGCGCGGCGCGAATTTTCTCCCGCGGAAAAATCGCACGCGCGCAGTTCCCCGCCGTAAAGTCAAATTGCCGGATAATCAGATAAAAGTGGACGCTTTCCACACGATGTTGAACTTTCTAATGACGGCACAATACTGATGACAATGATTCGCGAGGTGGGATGCTTGCAACCAAGTATAACGGTTTGGAAATAAACGTAATTACTTAGAAAGTAATCGACCTGTCGTACGCATACTTTCTTAACGCCCGACCGAGGGGCCTAATTAATTACTCGGGCTAATTGCCTTGCGCGCCCCGATCAATCAGTCGCGCATTTCGATCCGTGCACGCGGAAGAGCATCTCGAGATTGTCTGCCCTTAACACATTCAGTCGCATAATTTACGGTAAATATTGATTTTTAATCAGCGTGGAAATTGCATCAAAAAAGCAAGCTTGCAAGTACTTTGACAATCTTGTACAATAATCGTTGCAAGATAAGAAAGGAATTTTAGGGAAACTTTCTATAAGAAAAACTACTTTACGGGACGTGTATCTTCATTTTTTAATAAAAGGTAATTTTGCTGCGGACGAAGAGAATTATTTGTACGCTGTTCAAGGCTCATGTGTTAATAGCTGCGCGATTATAAGAAAAAAAAGAGAGAGAATATATTCTTCTCCACCTCGGAGGAAGTTAGCTACGGATTTTTCTTACGTCAGCGAGATCGGGGAGAACAATTAATCGACCCGGCGGACTGACCATTTCACCGAAAGGGAAAAGCTCCCGTCCGTTCGGAAGAGAAGCCTCTCCAGACGGTACCGACCGACGACCTTCCTTGAAAGACATTGCTTTTGCTGGAAGGTGAACGCAGCCGTGCGACCTAGATTCTCATGTGGAAAGGAGCGGAGCCGCGCGCGTACGCGGGAGAAACGGAGAAAGAGTGATACGAGATGTAAACGGCACGAAACGAGATGACGATTATAACCAGGGGGGACGAGCGATGAGCGTGCACCATCGCGATATCCGCCGCGGCATCGACGCGAATCGAAAGTCCCCGCCGTGCACTTGGCGGCGGACACTTTCAGCCTTTTACTTCACGCGCGGTCGAGCGACCGCGAGTCAAATTTCACCCATCGTATCGCGGCGGAAACGCGCGCCGTCTCTATGCACGACGCGCGGGCTCGCCTTCGCTTATCGGAGTCTCAAATCGCAAAAACCTGCCTTCGCAAACCCGCCTCGGTCCTGCGCGAATCTCGCTGATCTCCGGCTAATTCCGCTCGCCTAGGGTAAAGTCGCGCGTGAAAACGAGAGTAACATTTTCAGTAATAAATGACCGGAGGAAATCTTATACGTCGCCAGACGTAATTAAAACTTCAGAAGATTGCTTGACCGTGTATGGCAAAGTTTTATGTTCAAACTCGCAACAATTGTGTCAATAATGCCGTATGGTAAATCAAAAGAAAAAAATTTTCTTCTCAGATCTTAATTTCATGAGCGGCCAAACATGACTTCAGTCAGAAATTTTCAGTGATATTGTATTTGTCGTTGAATAGATTTTTTTCATTAGATATTGAAGTAACTCGGCCGAGAACGCCTGCATGCAATATTGTGACAAGCGTTTGAAATAAACGAGCACGGTAAGTTGCGCTCTTTGGCACGAATCAGTTCAATATTTCAGTCGAGTAGACCGCAAACTCGTAATCCCTCGAATACCTCCGGATGCTTCACGAGATGACGATTAATGAGCGAGACGAACACGCTATTTTCCTCGTGACAATGATGAATCGAAAGTCTCCGTTCAAGCGCCCGCGGGCGCTTGCGGACTTTTACTTTTTGTCGTTTGTTCCGCCGGGGCACCTCGGCGCGAGAGGTGGAGGAAAATGAAATTGTTCCGTTCTGCCCTGATAAGAAACTAGGCACGCGTCTTCAACGTCATATTATTGCTGCTTTCCGTTTGTTCTCTTTACAAATGATTTGGCGCCTGCTCGTGAACACGTTTATGCGCCGCTTTATGCTGATGATCTTAACTTACCTCTCCAAGCTAATTTACTTTCTAACTACTTCATGATCTAACCTGCAGACAGGCCTGTTTCTTGACGCGACGTACGAACAAGTGTTTCATTGAACATTTCCAGATGTTCCGTTATGAGATTCTCACGTAATTATAATCGAATTTACTCATTTGTATTACTCATATTTCTAGACGTGTACACACACAATTAGGTTTTTTTACTACGACTTCAGTTAGATTTTGGAGTTGATTATTAATCCTTGATTACCTTAACACTTTAATAATAATATTATTAACGCATTGCTGATGTCTAGGGATTTTGTTGAAACGTTTTAATTCAAATTCCAAAGACTCGGACACCTTTAATATTCTACATAATTTGTTCATTAAAATTTTACTAGAAATCCACGGATTAATGTATGATATTTCAAATTCGTATTTCGTACTTCGCGATCACAGTTCCTCTTTTTTTTTTGTTCTTCTGAAGAGATTTGCATTCCGATTATTGCATTGTAAGGCGCTATCACTGTCGGAATCGAGTAGAGCATTGTTTAGTGCGTCTCAAACCGTTGTTTCTGCACTCTCGAGGAGAAACCGCGCCTTCGAAGAAAGTATTTTTTTCGCTCCTACCTTCGCGTACGCGAACGCTCGTTCGCTCTTGTGGAGGCCGAAACTATTATTCCCACATGCATTACAATACCTGCAATCACGTTTCCATGTACGCAGCCCGGCCGTACCCGATCACCACGCTAAACATTTAATCGCCACAGCGCTCTATTGTTCACCTGCACTGAAAAAAATTGATCTTGCGACTGCAGCAACAATTTTCTAGGTACGAACAAATAACTGGGATACGTCAATGAATAGCCAATACTGCGAAATCGCCTATGTGTTGTAGTTAATCAATTTAAATAACAGAAGTAGAATTTTTATCTGAACTGTTAGCAAATGTTAGGAAGAAAGTCTTTCCGTGGCGCCCATCCATTATAACGTTTGATTGTGGTACATGCAACAGTTCCTTACTTGTTCTATAATAACTATGGTACCGACATTTATCTAATGTAAATGATTAACATTTCCTCAAGTTTGTTTGACCGTATCTGGCAATTTTAATGTTCAAGGCTCGCAACGTTTCGACCATGGGTTTGTGGTCCTTTTCAAACGAACTAACAATACAAAGCAGGATTAATAATTAATCATAAAACTTTCCAGAAGGTATAGAATGTTGCTGCTGTAAATTTTGCAGGCTACAAACAATTTTCTAACAAATACGAAAAAATAGCGATAAATTTTTGTCGCGATTGCTAGAAATCTACTTGCGGTGATAAGATATTTTTTTTAGCGTGTTTTCCGTTGAATGCTTATTACTATCATACTATTTTATTAAATAAATATACTCTACCAAAGTCGTGTATTAAGAAGCAAATTGTTCCGCTGATACAGTCGACCGGCGAGTTCTCGGGGGAATCATTGTTTTTCGTTAGAAAAAAATCGCGATCTTAATTGGACGCGCTCTGCGATTTCAGAGACGTAGAAACTATTTTGCAGGGAGCGAGCGATCGCGCAAATGCAGTTCTCAGTTTGCCAGAGGCGGACAAATCTCTCCGACGAGCGTACGCATAAACAGCACACTCACAGATCGCTTAATTCCTGAGAATACGCCGGATTGATATAATGGAGGACGCGCGGTCGCGCGATAATGCGGCATGAAAAAAATCCAGGTCGTGCGAATCGGATTGTCCGCGTTTAACGCGTTTTGCGCGCATTTGTATATGTCGACCTCTGTCCCCGGGGAGTTTTTCACACCGCCGTATCGTGCTCGTGCGGGATAGAGTTGTCGCCGCACGCAGTTGGCGCGCGGTAATTAAAGGCCACGGGTGTTATCGCATAATCATAAGGGAGTTTATTAAGAATAAATCTCTAATTACGACTATTTCTATCGATTAGCGTTAACGTCCGTTACTTCGCTTGCTTATGCCAACGCGGCGCACGATACTATTTTTCCTACTGGATTGCTTACGAGGGCCAATCAGGATTTAAGCCAACGGCACACGATACTAGTTTTCCCACTGGATTGCTTACGAGAATCAATCAGGATTTAAGCCAACGGCACACGATACTATTTTTCCCACTGGATTGCTTACGAGAGCCAATCAGAATGGAGAATTTTAGATCGGATGACTTAAGGCTAAAGCCAACCGCACACGGTACTATTTTTCCTACTGGGTTTAGCCTTAACTGTCACCTGATCTAAAACTCCGCAACCTGATTGGGTCTCGTAAGCAGTCCGGTAGGAAAAATAGTACCGTGTGCCGTTGGCATAAAACTCTGCATCTCCCTATTCTTGTAAGCAATCCAGTAGGAGAATTAGTACTGTGTGCTGTTAACTTGAGGCTACAAAGATCAGGTGACTCAAGTCCCGATTGGCTCTCGCAAGCATCCAGTAGGAAAAATAGTGTGCCGTTGACTTCAGACGTAATTGTACGTGGAACTGGCAACCAATGAGTTTTGTTATTTAACTTTATTTCAATTCCAAGACATCCGGTCGATCGAATCGGTTAACACACGCTGCTTGCGCCGTTTTTGCAGGATTTTTGCGCGACTTGTACGCAGTCGGAGCGACGATTCGTGATAATTTGTCGTGCACGCGGCCGGAATTTTTCTTATTTACCGGGAGGTAAAGACTACGGGAAATGATTCGCGGATAAGACGGGATTTCGCGCGTTATCGGAGCCCACATCGTCATTTATCACGATCTATCTCCGTCGATCGATCTTGCCGCGCTGCGTCGGATTAGTTATTCGCTCAACTTTACGTGCCATTAATACCACGCACAGG